CATTAATTAGCCATTACGTAAGAGTAGAACATGACTTTTGTTAAAAACACATTTTTTTTGAGAGTAACGGTGGGACGGTGAGCCAGACAGCTAAGCATAAGAACACATTTACTGAAGTCGTCCACATTAATTTAGTTGAACAGTGTCTTGCTATTAGCATAGTTAGCATAAAGCAATTGCACCTAACACTAACTCTGCTAACTCTGGTGCTGGAGAACGTCCCGTCCTGGTTTCCCTGCTCTGACATAATCACTTCAACTCAAGAAGGGCTTGTTAATTATCTGATTAATTGAATCTGGAGAGTATTTCACAAAGTAGGATTTCGAGTTAGCTGAATAACCCAACAGAAAGCCTGTCCAATAGGAATGCCCCTATGCTCTTTTATAGATTATTGGCTTATGTTATGTGGCTAACTAAGAAATCCCACTGTATGAAAGAGCCCCCAGGTGTATTAGAGGCAGAAAAGACACCAAAATATGCCTGTCAGCAGTACAGCAGGGTTGGGAACTACTGGCACTGAGTACTGCTTTGGTTTTGGGCATCATACTGGTGATGTTTTCCAGCCTGGGAAGAGCTTTGCCTCCAGAGAGATTTTTTTGGTGGAATCGATTAGGATAGCAGCTTCAGCATGTTTCTGTGTATGTTCTCCGTTGTAATGTGTCTGAAAGAGTTGCTCTCAGAGTGCTCTTCAGCAGTCTCATGTTTAACCTCAGTCATGTCCCTGCCGGGTTCCTCCGTGTCCCAGAGCGGCCTGGTTGCCTGTCGGCTCCTGCCTCGACTCTGTTAGCTGTTTTCTGACCTGTCTGAGAGGCTTCGTGAGGAGCAGAGATTGTGTTGCTGTAACTGATGAGGTCCTGCTTGTGTCCTCTCCGCTCTACAGCAGACAGGCTGTCCTTTATCTCAACAGAGCTGTGGAGGCTCAGAGGAGGGGTCAATATTTCTGGGATAGCGAAAGGTGGAGGAGATGAACGGGAACAGTTGGGGGGAGTCCAGGGCAATGAGAGTTGGGGGGGGGGTGCTCTTGCACTTCCTTCTTGCACCTTCTTTGTTGCTCAAGGATGGGGTCACAGTATTTTCTTTCTCCCTCACATATTCATGTTAGGGAACGAAAAAAAATAATCCTCTTAAAATCTTAAATCGGTAAGGGAACATAATGGTACCATATTTTGTTGCACGTTTTCATTGTTCTGTTTTTTAAGTCACACTGCCTCCATACAATTTGTCGTGATGCTTTGGCTTTTTACTTTATTTTTCTATGTTTGTAAAAAGTTAATGTGGAATTCCACCAATTTTAAAAAGTTCTCCATAATTATATCATTAAGATATAAACAAAGTCATTCAGAGTGGTTTCATGTCAAAGTGGTGTGAAGTCAGAGCTGTTCAACGTGGTGGTGATAGGAACCAGACATCTGAAGAGTTTAATGCCTCTAAAAGCTTCCTCACAGAAAGTTATTACATGAAGTGAATACACTGCTTTGATGCTTGAGACATTACGATAGTTCTGAGATAGAATTTTGACCTTAAACATGGTGGAGGAGCACATGCAGGTTGTGAGGCAAAATCACCCGAAAAGAAAACTTTTTTTCAGATTTACCATCATTAATGCTACATATAAAAGCTCAGAATACACATGTAAGCTCACGGGTGGTTTTGTACAGTAAATGAAACAATTGTTTTTCTGTTGTAAACATCTTATGTCACACAGTGTAGGACAGGGTACGAGCTTCTATTATTTGCAAACTACGTTAGTCTCGTAGCTCCAGTGGAAAACTCCAGACTAGAGGTCTGCATAAGGCAGGTTCCCCAATGGGCCCTGTGTGATCTGCAAAATAATTTGTGGGCAGGATTCACTTTGAGGCACCGCAGTCATTGCAGGTAAACAGCCAATATGTTGTGGGCTCATGTGAGGGCCTATGGCTAGCTGGGTGGGGTGGGCTTGGACAGTAACTGGCAACTTGTAGAAGAGGAAAGATGAGCAACAAGTATGCGGCAAGAGTGCTGCAGAAAAACACATGAAGCTATGTAACTTCCAGTAAATGCACAAAATCTGACTTTTCAAGAAAATTGTTTTGGCTTTTTAACCTGTGTTGCAGCATACGTCTGCATCTATATTGGCTCTGATTAAAGTTCTTCTGGCTTGTATATGACTTGCAGAGGTATTAGCTAATAATATAATGCTGACACAGGTAAAATGCTGATATAAATAAAAAGTAGCACAGCCAAGCTGCTTCACTGTTTTTTTGGTTTTACTGGATGTGGTGCCGTGAGATTGTGCTGTGCAAGTTCACACGGTTTTGTTTAGCCTAAAAATACAGCAAATGTTTACTTCCGTTTTGCAACACTGAAACATTTGTTGTTGAGGCTATTTTACCGTATCGGTGGGGGTTGCATGGACATTTCTTACACTAGTGGAGAGGATTATAATATACACAGGCTGGCCTGGATGAGGACCACAAGGATAGCTAAAATGGTGCTAGGTTTTGTGGGCAGGTGTGGGCAAGAACACTAGATTTTGCGGTCACAAGCAGATGTGACCAGTGGCTGAAGTGGGTGGGTGCGGACATTAATAATCAAGCCTGTGCAGACCTCTACTCCGGACACCAACCGTGCCTTGGTTGACCAACTACATCTGAGGTAAGAGGAAAACTTTCCAAATTGGATTTTTCTATTCTATTGCTTATGACTTCCTTTAAAATCTGTGTAGCTTCAACTCCTGTGCCATTTTGATAGATGCTAGTTGTTAATATTCTGCCTGAGTCTTTTTCACTGTTCTAAGAAATGTGTATTTGATGACTCTCACAAAGCCTGTTTTACAATACTGCACACAGTAAAATCAGCAGTGTTCAATGAAGGCCTACAGTGTTAAATTAACTAATGCAGAGTCCATTGACCACTAGAGCTTTTACTGCGTAGTTACGTCTCACAGTAGCATCCTCAGTGTGGGAAGGGGTTGGTATTGATGCCTTGGCCATTAATCAGACTACAGTATTTAATCAGTGTCACAGTTCTTTTCATTGGAACCGCTGCTGCACAGTGAATCACTTCTGGAAAGTCATTTTGACATAATTTAACAAATTTTTAAGAAAAGTCAGTAGAGCGGCAGCTCCGCTACTTAATCAGAAAGCTAAATTAGTGACATTAGCAGTTTTTATGATCAGACTGCAGTTGTACCAGCATACTTTTCACTTAATATTTAAACCTTCTGTTCAATTTTCATGCAGAGGAATGGAAGTTGCTTACGTTTGTCTAATATGAGAAAAAAGCAAAGAGCTGTGCTGAAACTCAGTACTTGCTCCTCTTTTCTTCCAGCTTTTCTTCTGTCTTTCTTCTCACCTTATGAAGTTCTCTCTGTGGCTACTCCTTTATTTAGTCCAATGGGCTTTAGTGCTCTTACATAGTCTTCCTGTTGTTTTTCTCCTGTGTTTTGCTCCTAGGATATTCTCCTGGGTTACATTCTGTACAAAAAGCTGCTTTGAAGGATGTGAAGGCTATGATGTGCTACCTGGCCTCTGTCCTTTCGTTGTTTCTGGATGTTTTTTCCCTGCCTAATTAACTTGCTGAACAAATTGCTAATACTTGACTGTCTCTCTTTCTAAGGTTTATTTCATCTTTAAATAAAAAAGCTAAAACATGACCTTGTTCTCATTTTCCCCTTTCTCTCTGTTTCTCTTTTTCTTCTTCTCTCTTTCGCGCTCACTGTTTCTCTCTCAAATTTTCAGTTTTTCTCTTTCTCACTGCCTCTCTCTATCTTTCTCATTGCCTCTGCCTTTCTCATTGCCTCTGCCTTTCTCAGTCATTCTCACTTTCTCTCTAATTGCCTCTTTTCACTTCTTTCTTTCTGTCCTTCTCACCGTCTTTTACATGCTCTTTCCCACTCTCTAGCTTTAGCTGGTTTTCCATCCACTACTTTTTTGTCAACTTTGAACATTTACCACCCTGAATGGAAAAAGCCTGAAATTCAAAGAAACACCCAATTATTTTAGATTGATGCTAAGACAAGGTGGAACAGTTAGAATATTGTTAAGGCCGAAATGTAAAAAGAGTGATGGAAGAGGGTTTTCCGAATAAACGATGATGTATCAAGCCGTAAGTGACACTTGACTAGCCCTACAGATGCCCTACTAGCCATTTCAACATTGTGAAACACCTGATCCAAAGCTCATTTGAAAAATAAGCTCTGCACAATGTGCTGCCAGAACTGTCTGGTGCATTTGCCTTCCCAGATGCAAAGTGGACGTTATGAGGGTTGGAACGAAGAATGAGGGTAGCCCTCATTAGGTAGCTCGCCCTTCCTGGTGTCTGAGCACGGCCATAAAACGGTAAATAACTGTAAATACAATTCTGATTAAAGCAAAAACTGAGGTCAATCTCTCCATCATGCTTTTGTCGATGCAGCTCCTAATCATGGTAGCCTATGTTATCTAAAGTTTCTTCTCATAACATTAGTGGATGGAAACACAATTCACATTTTTTTCTGCCAAAATTTGGTGAACACGCCTATCATTTGTGAAATGTTTGAGTGGAAACCTGGCCACTGTCTCTTTTTCTCTATCTTTCATCATCTCTTTATTTCTTTCTCTCACTGTCTCTACCTCTCTTACTAGCATCTCGCTCTTTTTCTCTTTTTCTCATTTCCCTTTAGCTTATGTATGGCAAGAAATCCGCCGCACTTCTTCTTCAGCTGCAGGCTACTTATTCAAAATGATTCTCAAACACACATTAACCACACACACACAGAGTTATGCAAATAACGCAGAATTTCTACTAGAGCACGTATGCTATAATGGCTTCTTGATGTACTCAAAGTTAGCTCCTTCTGCGACATATGATTTATGAGCTTTACTCATTAATTTGACAAGAAAATTAAATAAATTTGATTGGCAAGTGGTACAGCTCTTATCACATTCTGCCAGAGCACACGTTTACACTGACTTTCTGACAGTTAAAAAGACACAGCTAATTGGACTAAACTTGGACTAACAGCTCTCTGATCCACTCACCAGTGTCGTGTTTGGTTCCTTTGGTGCAGGCCACTAAAGCTCCCATGCTGGGCTGAGAGGTCATTCCAGCCATGGAGTCCACGGCGACGTCTACTATATCCGCCCCCGCCTCAGCACATGCCAGCATGGCTGCCACACCTGCGCCCGCTGTGTCGTGAGTGTGAACGTGAATGGGCATGTCAGGGAAACGATCCCGCAGCGCTGTGATCAGCAAGCGACTTGGCTCGGGCTTCAACAGGCCAGCCATATCCTACAGAAAGACCCTCAACATTAATATGCTGTCTAGTTCATGCCACTGTGCAGAGGGGATGTACAAAAACACCACAAGAAGTACTTATGATTACTGGCCACTTTATCAGAAACACCTACAACCCAACTTGGTGACACTGCTGGGTTGAAAATAGTCCACAAATCAGAAACATAAAGCCAACAGTGGTCCTGTGGCCAGTTGTACCAACACATATTACCATGCCAGTACCATGTCAGTGTCACTGCTGTGTTGAGAATGATCCAGCACCCAAAACAATATCTGGTTAGTGGTGGTCCTATAGTTGTCCCTTTCCATTTATGGAAAGGCTAGCCAGCTGCTGCTACAACAGCTGGGCTAAAGTCAGCATTTGTAAAGCTACAAAGTGAACCTACACGGTAGGTGTTTCTGATAAAGTGGCCAATCAGTATGAGGACAACTCCTTTACGTCACAGTATATGGTGTAAATCTCTGATCTCATATTCTGATTTGAGCAGGATTCTTTAGGGAAACAACTAAATGTAGGATAAAATCTCACATGCTACCATGGTTCAGTTTGATATAATTAATTTGTTATGATTCAGAACCATTTCAAATGTACACTGAATACACAAATGTGACCGTGGAGGAACTGTTTACACAGTAAATGAAATAGACAATAAAAACAACATACTAAGGATTTTTTGTTATTTAAATATAGCTAGAAAATTTTGCTTTGGCCTAAAATGAGTGTGAACTTTGTTGAAAAAAAAGTCCAAAATCGATGCAGTTGAAACACCAACCCAGGCATTTTTACACCCCTACTTTATGCAGGTGTTTATGTCTGTAAGTGCATTGATTGTGGATTTTTTTAATCTCACTCTAACTTAACCCCTCAAAATCTATGCTCATTTATTAGCTAATTATATCAAGATATATTTTCTAACTCTAAGATTCAGCAGTAACTATGAATATACATTATTCACTGATATGAAACTAATAGTTCCGTTATGTAGTTATAAGAATGAGGAACTGAAGTGTGACCCTTGCTGTTAAGTGTGTGCACACTGTACCTTAATGGACAGTA